TTTGTAGAATCAATTATTTCATTCTTTAGAAATAAATGTAACCAGCTTTGTTTTTGAGTTTGTATTTTCATAAACCAATATACATACATGCACAAACACAAATACACACACATACAAACACACACACACACACACACATATATATATATATGTGTGTGTGTGTTTGTGTGTGTGTTCGTATGCTTATCAAATACCTATTAAATATAAGTACACCGTTATATTTGTATTGGGGTAATTTCGTGGGAATCTTCTGTCGCACTGACAGATGTTTTGTTATTCGGCAATTATCACCTTTAAAAAATAGTCAAATATAATTGGCAATAATTTTTTTTTTTTTTGTACCAATGAAAGAAGAAGAGAACGCAGACATATTTGCCGGCAGTGAAAGAGAAAAATAAGCAAAGTAAGGAAGACAGTAGAGAGGTGAAAGGGATAAAACAAAGAAGCAAACCAACGTGGAAAAAAGAAGAAAATAAAGAGGGAATTTACAAGAGAAAGAAAGGGAAGATGGAAAGAACAGAAAAGAAAGAAAGAAAAAAAAATCAGATTATGAAGATGAAATACAAAATAGAATAAACAAGACAGAAAAAAGAAAGAAATTAGAAGAAAAGACAGAAAGAAAGATAAAATTAAATAATTTAGAATATAAACAAAGAAAGAGAAATATTTAAAAAAATTCAGAATAAACGCTGTAAGAAATAAAAACATTAAAATAAAAATAAAGAAATAAGGAAAGAAATTAAAATAAAAGAAAAAAAGAAATTAGAATATAAACGAAAAAAATGAAAGAAATGAAAAGAAAGATAGAAAGAAAATCTAGATTGAAATTAATAAAGAAAGAAATTATTGAAATAAATAAGGAATAAAGAAAGATAGGTTAAAAGAAAGAAAGAAATGAAAATAAAAGATAGAAAAAAGAAAAGTATGGAATGATAATAATAAAGAAGGAAAATATAATAAAAAAGAAGGAAAGATATTAAAATAAAAGAAAGATGTTAAAATAAAAGATATAAATAAAGAAATGTAATTGATCAAAAGAAACAAAATAGATGAAAGAAAGAAAGAAAGAAAGAAAGGAAAAATGTTGAATAAGTGTAATAAAAAAGAAAAATGTATATAAAGAAAGAAAAAGTAAGATATTAGAATAAAAGAAAAATTAAAAAAGGCAAGACAGAAAGAAAGAAAGAAAGAAAGAAAGAAAAGAAAGAAAGAAAGAAAGAATAATTTTGGAAAGTGAATAAAAGAAAGAAAGAATAAAAAAGAAAAGTGAATAAAAGTAAAGAAAGAAAGAAAAGAAAGAAAGAAAGAAAGAAAAAAAAAGAAAAAAGAAAGAACAAATGTGGGAAGTGAAAGAAAGAAAGTACGGGCAAAAAAGTGGAAGCAATGTAAGGGCAATTGATGAAAGTAAAGAAAGAAAGAAAGAAAGAAAGAAAGAAAGAAAGAAAGAAAGAAAGAAAGAAAGAAAGAAAGTAAAAATAAGGCTATAATTTGAAAAATGTTGAATGAATAAAAAAGAAAAAGCTAAGAAAGAAAGAAAAAGTAAGATATTAAAATAAAAAGAAAAATTAAAAAAAAAGAAAGAAAGTAAGACGGAAAGAAAGAAAAAAGAAAGAAATTAGGCTATAATTAAAAAGAAAGTGAAAGAAAATGTTGAATGAATATAATAAAAAAGAAAAGCTATATGAAAGAAAGAAAAAAAAAGATATTAAAATAAAAGAAAAATTGAAAGAAAGAAAGTAAGACGGAAGAAAGAAAGAAAGAAAGAAATTAGGCTATAATTAAAAAAGAAAGTGAATGTCTGTAGAAAATGTTGAATGAATATAATAAAAAAGAAAAAGCTATATGAAAGAAAGAAAAAGTAAGATATTAAAATAAAAGAAAAATTAAAAGAAAGAAAGAAAGTAAGACGGAAAGAAAGAAAGAAAGAAAGAAAAAATAAGAAAGTGAATGTCTGTAGAAAATGTTGAATGAATATAATAAAAAAGAAAAAAATAAAAGAAAGAAAAAGTAAGATATTAAAATAAAAGAAAAATTAAAAGAAAGAAAGAAAGTAAGACGGAAAGAAAGAAAGAAAGAAAGAAATTAGGCTATAATTAAAAAAGAAAGTGAATGTCTGTAGAAAATGTTGAATGAATATAATAAAAAAGAAAAAGCTATATGAAAGAAAGAAAAAGTAAGATATTAAAATAAAAGAAAAATTAAAAGAAAGAAAGAAAGTAAGACGGAAAGAAAGAAAGAAAGAAAGAAAGAAAGAAAGAAAGAAAGAAAGAAAGAAATTAGGCTATAATTAAAAAAGAAAGAGAATGTCAGTTAAAATGGGAGGAACGGATAGTTGGAAAGAACAGAAAACGACATAAAAAAAAGAAGAAAAAAAGGAAAATATGAATAAAAGAATAGAAAAAAGGACAAGCATAAAGACGGATATTCCGAACTATTGTCAGGCATGATGAACGGATATGCCCCCGAGAAGGCCCCGTGCCTTGAGAGAATATTGGGCTTCAAACTCACAACCTACCTCAAATGGAACTCTTATATACGATCCATCGCTAAAAAAGCAGGTAAAATAATCGGTTTCCTGTAGAGTTCCACTAAGTTCCTGACTCCTCATGCTATCTTCTACTTTTATAAGACCCAGGTTGGGCCGAAAATGGAGTAATGGTGCCATATTTGAGCGGAATCTGTCCTGCCCACAGTTTACAGAGTTCAAAACAGTCTCTAAATCCTTGGTGGAAAAGAATTATTTTCCACCCATTTTTCACCCACAGACGATATGTGGTGAGTCTCTCATTGCTCTGTCGCTACTTCCATGGAAAAATCCCCGGATGAACTATAATCCTTGGTTCCGCTAGGTCTAATATTCACGGCTAGGACTCACTATGCCATTTACACAGTAGTAAAACACCCACATTTTCTCTGTATACTATCTGCGTGAAGTAAGTTCCAGCCAAACGGCTTCTTCCCCCGAATCACTACCCTGTGGAACAGACACCCAAGAGGATGTTTCCCGATCACTATAATCTTAACCCGTTCAAGTCTAGAGTTAACCTTATCAAAATTACCCCTTAACGTGACCTTATCTCTCGAGTGGACCCCGGGTTTTGTACAGGGTTAACTTTACTGTAAATGTAAAGCAGACATGACAGATAAAAGAAAAGATAGAAAAGATGAAAGATGTAAAAGAGATATGAGAAATAAGGACAAGCATAAATGAAAAAAAAAACAATGGACAAAATAAAAGGAAATATAAAAATAAGAGGGAAAGGAAAATAATCCAAGAGAACTGAAAGAGCCAAATAAAGATGAAAGCATTCAAATAAAAATATAATAGAAAGAAATCATTATTTTTTCGCTAATGAAAGAATATTAAGATGGTATATAAAAGATTTTGAATGATCAAGATTAAAAATGAACGAAGACAAACAAAGTTTAAAAAGGAAGAAAATAATATGTTATTAAGAAATAAAGTGTCGTTGCCGACACTGGAATTTGAACCTAGATCGCCAGTGAGCAAAAAAGGGCGATCCCATTTTAAATAAGTACATCAAATAATACTAAAATAAAGGATTACAATTCGGTGGTTCCTTTTCGAGCGAGAATTATCGAGCAAGTACTACTAGCGCGAGGGCTATTCGAAGGCGTCTGACACCAGTATTGTTTAACGGCATTACTATAGTTGTATCTGCGATTACAAAGTCTCTACTACAACGAGCATTACGAAAGTGACAACAAGTATTCGTTGACATTAAAAAGTAGCAACGAGTGTTTGCTGACATCACCAAATAATATATTAAGGTAAATGAATGAACAGTGTTGCATTCAGAGTAAGACGATGAACTACATGCGACGGCAAGGCCTCTGATCAGGAGGTTTTGCTGGTGTTTTCAGGTCCATCCTGACCCGGGATGGTAGCACCTGTAAGGTTCCCAAATAGTTAACCCCAAACTGGGATCAAAACACTATGAAAGTGTAAAAATAGGTTTTACTACCAGCAATACATTTTTATAAAAAAATATTACCAGCAATTAATTTTTGAAGAAAAAAATATTACCAGTAATACTTTTTCGTAAAAAAAATACCATACAAGCAATAATTATTTTGAAAAAATATTACCAGCAATACATTTATGAACATAAATATTACCGGTAATAAAAATCTTGTCGACATTAAATAACCTATTGAGGTTGATATGCCGTATAACAAATAAATAAATAAATAAAAAATAAAAATAAACAAAGCAAAACAAAACATAGCAAACCGGAACACTGTTGTAAGCCTGCGCGGAAAAGAATGATGAAGTTGTAAGTAAAACATACGAAATAATCAACCTGACGAAAAAAGGATAATAAAAGAACTGTGTAGAACATTGACAATATTATGTAGTCGTAATAGTAGCAGTAGTAGTAGTAGTAATAATAATAATAATAATAATAATTATTATTATTATTTACAAAATTTGGTTACGCAATAAAAAGAGATTGCAAGCATGTCCTCAGATATTATTAACAGTAGGATGTCCAAAACATAGAGATTCTCCAAAATTCTGTCGTGGTATTCATCTTTGTTGCAATAGACTCAATATTAAGAGTGTTACAAGAGGCATTAGATTGTATTAAATAAATATCCATGAGTGGAAACCTAAATCAGTTAGTTTTGACCGTAACTTGAATTTTTTCCATTAGTTTAAAAAAAATCTTAAAATTCGTATCTCTCTCCGTTACGTTAATGTTTGTACAAATACCTTGAGAGAGATATGAATCTGATGGTCTATTTAATGACGAAATCTAAATATATGGACGCAAGTTTGACCTTATGTTTAGAGATAACAATGCTTTTAGGGATACAAGTCTTACTAATTAACCTATAGTGAGGGGAAGAATAAAATGAGTCATATCTCTCTCGCGGGTATCTGCTCGAATGTGGATATAACGAACCCAGCGGGAATTGTAATCCAATTAACCAATTTCGAGCCATTGTCCATTAGAGTATCCGCACATCCTACCTTACAGCACCTGGTATTCCCAAGCCGTTACCCATATGGGTACTAACCAGTCTCGATGTTTCTTAACTTCCGTGATCGTAAGGGAACCGGCGTTTAAATGTAATGCGAACGTAAGCCCTAATTTAGATAGGAAAATCTGAATTCAAAATTAGTTTCAAGAAGCTCTCTCAGGCCATCTTGCCCTAGACACACCACATGCACTACACGTCGCGCTATAACAAAACCTAATGTATTCCGTGAATCGAGAATTGAACAATAGAACAAGAAAGAGCATTTAGTTCAACAACCCCATACAACGAAACTGTGAAAATTAAAGATGGAGGTACATTTAAGTTTAATAATAAGCACTTTCCTGCCAACTGTAAGCTCAATAAAGTATTCAACAGGAACACAGTTAATTGGAGCTGTTGCAGCATGGACAACATCATCTATTTCTTAAAGAACCATGATATCTCTGTGGTCACGTGATAGGATTTCATCTTCTCCTTATAACGCCTGAGCTACAGATAACTACCTTTTCTGGGAATATGTATAAGCAAAAAATATTCTACCTAGGGAATTTGAATACAAAAACTGAATTGATATTGCTTCAATGTTTCTATATTTGCGCTGAAATAACAGATTCACTCATTAATTTTATATGGCTTATCAATCTTTATCTAAGTATTTAAAGTCACAAAATATTTTTAGATTGCCAGAATTTTTTTTGATATAATAATGGTTTAGTGATACAAGCTTTACTAATTAACCCTTAGATGGGGGAGAAGAGGTGGATTCATACCTTTCGCAATCTACTTGCGCGGAAGTGAATATAACGAACCCAACGTGAATTGGAACTCGGCTCTCAGATTAACAATTCTGGGGCATTATCCATTACACAGTCCGCACAGCCAAGGTTTTATTCTTGCTGCACATGACCAACCAAAGATGCAGAAGAATTATCTTAACTCGAAATGCAGATTCTGTGATGTAAATCTAGAAAATCTGTTTTACAAGTATTTTCATGGCAATTGCTCCGAGGAGCTGCATGCGCTGGTTCCCAGACTTCATGAGTTCAATCTCCCTACGGGGCTGGCATCCCGCTCTCACCCTTTCACTGTCGAAACTACTAAATGTAGCCGTCTCTTCTACTCCAATAGCTTCATGTCTCGCACCTCTCGCCTGTGGAACTCCCTTCCCTATTCTAGTTCCCCTGAGAGCTATAATCCCTAGCTATTCAAATGTAATGTCAATTGACATCTCCAGTTGCCTTGATCTATCCACTACCCTTCTCCTCATCCTTTCCTCTATCACTCCTATCTGATCTTGCTCCAAATTTTCTGTAACCACTTGCGTCCTAGTGGCTTCCCGACTTGCTTGGGGTGAAACGCTTAAAAAAAATAAAAAATAAATAATTGATCATTGGGTATTAGGTTGCACGGTATTAGCGTCCATCGAATATAAACCTTGGTATGACAGGATGGGCCAATATCTACACTGGAAATCTGCAACTGGTATGAACACCAGCCAAATCCGGCCACAGACATAAGACCAGTTTGTTTATTTGTTTGTTTAAAACTTAACGTCCCATCGATCAGCAAGAGATCATTTAAGGTCAAACAGTTATTTTTTTTTCTTTTTCTTTATGTGACGTCGTCCCCAGGTCGCAGCGCCGACTGTGACGTTCTATCCTGATCTACCACGGCGCCAGTTGTGACGTCCCCAAACAGCACCAATTGTGACGTCCTCGCCGCGGCGCCAGCTGTTCGCTCCTCGCTGCTCCGTTCGGGTGTCGCTGCTCCAAATGTGACGTCCGCCTGTCACGTCAGTCGGGTTGTCTCGTCCTGTGACAACCAGCTGGCTTGGTATCGGTCGCGGCACCCAAATGTGACGTTCTAACCTTTTGGTGATTCGGGTGGGAATCTGGTTAGATTTGATATCAGCCTTGTTCTGTTCTGTGTACAACAGACCTACTAGCACTCATCTCCCTTTACCGGCCCTTTTTGCTTGGGGGCTTCTTTCTGACCCTACACCGGTTGAAGGTTCCTGGTGCTCAGCCTCTATCTAGTTTAGCTGCCCCCAGCACGGCCGCTTGACATGCCCCCAGCTTGGCCGCATGGCTTAGTTTTCATCCTTTAAATATCTCGTCATTCTTGGACATCTCCGGTAAGAACTATCGCCTTTCTTCCTTCTTATTATGGAATTATTTAATGCAAGCATTATTTTTTAGTATCATTTCCTTCCTTAAACGAACTTTGTTTACCTTCTCACCACGTGCGGAACCCCCATCTTTCCTCTCTGAGCTCGACTGTTACTCAGCATAATTTGTATTCTTTTTCTTTCTATGAGTATTTTTTATGTTCAAATGCTTCTATTCTGCAAGCTTATCATACCTACAACTACTTTTAAGGTCTTAGTAAATACTCACCTTCATTTTGTATCTCCGTGTTTCTGAAGAAACGTGTTTTTATTTTCTTTCAGTTTTTACCTTTGTCCACTGTCAATAAACCTGTGTCTAAAACATACCATGTCTCAGAGTCTTGATGGTCGATGAGAGTTTATGCTAACTGTCTAAGGGTTGTGTACATTTCAACGAAATACACGCATCCCGGAGACAGTATAAGCCTCGTCGTTCCCAACTCGCTTCCAACGCCTGGTTACCAAGGTAACTGCATTGATCTCCAGTCCGCCTACCCACGTTGTGAATTGATCTTAGGCAGACGAGATCAAACAGTGGTTGGGGCCGTAATGCAAACTGAGTTCAACGGGGGTGATACTACACAAATATGCATAAAAGAAAATAAAATGAAAACTCAAAAAGTTCAAAGTATCAAAGAAAAAGGTAACAAACTTTATGTCTAGTTGGTCGATACATAGGACTGCATCTATCTCCCGACCCGTTCTGTGGATTGTGACACGTTGTTTCCGCTAGGCAAGTTTTAACGCTTCAAGTTGTTTGCTCTCTAAGAAACTGGTGTTTCGGTGTGTCTTTGGACGAAAGTCGAAAAACTTATTTCGGTGGTCTGGTTCTAAGTCACTCTTCAAAATAATTGTTTTTGGGTTGAAGAGGAGTCCTAAATTTGCATGAATCTTGGTCAGCTATCTCGAGGCGGCTTCAACTCTGGAAACTCAACTCTCTGCTGGAGCCCGAACTGATTTCTGCCTGTTGGGGCCTCGCTTTTATTGACGCCGACCAAAACCGGGGTGGGTCTGTTGGCGTATGGGGGGTCCTCGATAATTCTAAATACATATCCACCCCTTTTATTTCTGGTTAGAATTTTCCACTCTTTTCCATTTTTGGGAACCTTTCCACCCCACTTTCTCACCATACCTCTGGGGCGTGAACTGCCCTCCCCACTTCTTTTGTAGCAGCTTCTCATACTTATACTCTGGATGGGGCGTCGACAGCCTTCTTCGTGCGTCACGTGATCACCACTCGGCCAATGAGGTCTTGGTCGGGCGTGAACAATCCGTGGCTTTGTTTCGGGAAAAAAAATATCTTGCTTAACTAAAAAAAAAATTATCTCTTCTCTTTCCCTTTTCTTCCGCTTAAATCGCCGTTATCATTTCTCTAGCCACGAACGGACAATATGACAACTCTTGTTCTACACGTGGTGTTTGTCAGGTATTTTATCGCTAATTTATTAAGATGGGTGATCTTCTTAACATGGCTTCAAAAAAGAAATATCCCCAAAGTTTTCAGTCAGTCTGTCGCCTCCAAGGAAGAAAGACAAACACTTCTGGGTCCCCATTCATTTTCCTTCGGTACATATTCCTGATAACATAATTTTATTATCGCAGGCCAAAGTTGTTTCGTCGAAAAAAATTCGGTCAGCGGCACTGCTTGTGTGGCATTTAATTTTTCATATCTGTCCAAAGTCCTTTTTAGTGGCCTGTTTCTCGTCACTTATCGAAATAGCATTTTCACTTGAATTTTTCCCTGGCCAGTGGTCCAGCCGTTCGTTTACGCACCTAGATAACACAGCCGTTATCAAAACACATCTGATTCCTTCTTTCTTTCCCTTTCTTTTTTTTACTCAGAAATTCCCTGTCATTGTAATGACACCCTTTTTCATTTGTTACTTATCAATATTTTCATTGTCTCTTAGCCGTGTGTGTGGCTGCTTATCCCCTACGATTCGTCACGCCTGTCTTTCTGCCTTCTTTTCTTTCTCTTCTTTTCTCTGCCTCGTAAATGGTGCCACATTTAAATAAGGTTGAAATGCTTTCAAAAAGACTTTCACTTTCCTTCTTTTTCGATGTTGTCTTGCTTTTTTTAAAAAAATCACTTTTCAGAGGTGCGTTGTTCTTTGAAAATTTCTCACCTGGCAAGTATCAAAGCTCCCCCTTTCATCATCAGACACCAAATTGGAATTATATTTTATTATATAGTCCAACTTTCCTAAGAAACGTCAAGATCAAATTGGGGTTTGATTTTTCGAAAAGTTCTTTCAAGTTGTTCACGTTGTAAAATAATTTTCGAATATGTGCCATGTCACCGCAATCAAGCAGGAAGTGCTTCACAGTATAAGCCTCCTGGCATGCTATGCATTCAGGAGGATCTTCGACTTTTAGGAGGAAGAAGTGAGTTATGTGCGTGTGTCCTATGCGAATACGGGATAAAACCACTTCTTCTTTGCGTGATTTTCTGTGTTCAGTTAGTTGTTTCTTTAGAGAGGGTTTGATTTTAAATAATTTGTTGTTTTGACAGTTGTTCCAAGCGCCTTACCATTTCTTCATAAGACCTGTAAAAAATTTATGGGACTTCACAATAGACGCAGACAGAACAGCCAACGCTAATCCCTTAGACATAGCGATCAAAGGCAGAATGTGCTTTCTTATTGACATGTTATTTGCAGACTGTAATGTAACCTTGAAGATTTTCGAAAAATATGAAAATCCAAAGATCTTGCAGGGGAAATCTAAAAAATGTGTCACATGTTAACATCAATAATGCCAGTTGTTGTTAGAGTTCTTGGTTTGATTGGGAAAGGTGCTTATAGATCCATTGAACGGATCCCTGGTAATCCATGCCTTAAAGAAATACGAAAAATTGTTCATACAACTACATTTCACACTTTACGATAGGCCTTATTTATGTATAATGTGTGTGATTGAAAGTTGTTTTATTACAAACTTGTCAGTGGAAAATAACATGAGTCTCACCTTAGTTCTCTGGATGAGACCCGGAGAGAAATGAGTATACAACAGAAATCAAAAGAAATAATAAGTTATTTGATTAATTTTACTTAACAAATTAACGGAAAAGTTATAGACGAGTACGCCGCCATCATGTTACTCACGTTTCAGTTGCATTCCATTTACACTGGCTGCGTTTCATTCGTTTTGTCGCGTTGATTATCAGTACGACCGTTTGTCTCAAGACAAGCGATGTTTGTACAAAGACTGTTTTCTTTAATTATTTATACGTGTATGCAATTGTTAAACATGAGCTGAATAAAATACACATGCTATCGAAATATAGTTAAAGATCGTTGTATTCTTTCTTTTTTCTTAAAACTTACTCTTCTGTAAGTGTTAAAATACTACTACTAATAAGAATAATATAACGACCTGGAAAATTGAAAGAATGACCTACAATCTGTTGTTAAAGGAGGCAAGGAGTGACTTTTTAATTTTAAACCTTGATTAACGAAACTACACTGTTTTAATCATCTATGAGACCATTTTTAACTTCCATCAGGACGGTTAATGCTAAACTCCAGAAGAGTGGCTCATTGCACTTTTCCAGATTAGCGTTTTCAGCTGACATAATTTGGAAAGAGTATATTAAATCAATTCTGGAGTTAAGGAAGTTGATTACTTACCTGTGCCGTGCTACACAATTTGGCCAGAATCTATCTTAAATGTTTATAAGTCTATCATTCGCCCTTCCTTTGAATATTACTGCCACAAAGAAGAATCTGCAATGTTATTGGTCCTGATCTGGCATCTGTCTTCAGACCGTTTCCCAGTTTCGTAACGTAGCTTCCCTGTGCCTTTTCTATAAATAGATTTATGGTTATAGTACCGGGGAAATTTTTGTTATGGTACCTCGATTTTATGCATTCAAGTGCAGTATAATGTGCTATGGTGGAACACACCTATTCTATAGTTAATAGACTCTCCCACCTATAATAAGTAGGAGTAGTAAGAGTAACGGGGAGTCAGTCAGTCGATGTCGGACGACAGTTAGTCGAATACGAAAGTATCAGCGACCACAACTAGATTACTCTGCGTTATACCTATTATATCAAGTTCCTAACGTTTTGTACGTCGAACCTATTTTAGGAACGACTTAGTACAAATACAAGCCTCCACTGCGATAGCACTCCACAACATAATGGTACCTCGATTTTATGCATTCAAGTGCAGCATAATATTGGTGGCAATGTCTCCTCATTTACAGTTGAAAATAGAACCGTAATTTCTATGTTAACAGTTTCTTCTTTCGCACTCCTCTTTGTGAAACTCCCTTCCGGCTTCTTGCTTTCCAGACAACTTTAATCTTCAAAAATTTAAATGCAGTGTCAATCCTTATCTTATGTCTTCTTAGTTCTTGTTCTTCCATTGTCTTCTCTCCTTAATAGTATTTTTAAAAGATATTTTTAAATATTAAACAAAATTGTTATTCCAATGATAATAATAATAATAACAACAATAATAATAATAATCATGGGAGCACTAGAAATAATTAAAACGTATATTTATACACACATTATTGAAACATAAGGAAAATACTCCTCATTTACAATACAAATGATGGTGTTAATGAACTCCATTCACACACTTAAAAAATAAAACTTTCTACATACAAAATGTTCAACAAGAAAAATATTTCCTAAGAAAAACCCTACTTTAACTTATGTCGCAACTAAAAAAATTGTATGAAACAACAAATCATGACAACAGCTTGAAGTAACAATAATAATAATAATAATAATAATAATAATAATCATCTTGTATCTGGATGCACTGTATTGGCACCTGCTAAATAAAAAAACTGTGAAACGCATGACAGAGTAGGCCAATATCTGCATTGGAAAATCTGCAACTTCTACGGAAAGGTAACTACAAGAAATTGGTATGAACACCACCCAGACCCGGTTACCTGTAACAATTTTATAGAACTTTACACACGTACAGAACAATCAAAGCTAATCTCACAATCATCGTGATCAGATACCACAAAAAAGAATTTACCTTCTTATTGACACCTTACGAAGGGCTTTATCTATGTAAAATACGTGTGATCTTAGATTGTTTTTTTCCCTCAAAAAATGCTCAGTGGGAAATGCCATGATGCCATATCTTAGCTTTGGTCTCTGGTTGGGACCCGGAAAGAAATGAGTATACACCAGAAATCAAATGAAATAATAATAATAAGAAGAAGAAGAAGAAGAAGATAAAGAAGAAGAGGAAGAAGAATTCAGTGACCACATTTATAATGTCAGACACAACAATATGGCATCAATGGAGCTTACGGAACATTTTATTATAACCGACTGTAATTTCAATGAACATGTTAAGGTGAAAATTCTAAAATATTCAAAATATTAAGAAACTACCGACATTGTGACTTTTAAAACGTATGATGATAGTTACGTATATATAGACATTACTCCCTCAATGAACAGAATGACAGGAGAGTTCCATAAAATTTATACTAAATATATTAAACTGTTTAATTCCTCTTAGTAACTAATCAACTAACGGAAAATTCCAAGATGAGCCCGATCACCATCATATTACACATGTTTCAGCTGAATGACTTCACGCTGATAGCGTTTCATTTGTTTGGATGCATGTTCTCAAGACAAGCAACGTTTGTACAAAGACTTATAATTTTTTGTAGATTTTTTTTATATTTTTATATATATATTTTTTTAAATAACTTGAAAACGATAGACATATTGTCCAACACTGTCATCTACTTTCTTTTCTTAAAACGCGCTCTCGTCTAAGTGTTTGTGTAGTGATAATAATAAACAAAATAATGATAAAGATCATAGTTAGAAACACTGTCCAATATGTCTGAACAGTGTATTCCATAAAAGATACAATCCTGATTTCTCTTTGATTCCAGGCGATAAGCAAAGGTTGTGAGATCTGAATTTTTACTTACATTACAGAGATACCCACCTCGCTCGTTATCTGGCAACCCACTATGCTGTCAAAGATGCAAAGTTATAGATATGTAATATTTGAATATCATTTACAGATGAAATGGTTGGAATGCATACGAATCTAAAGAAAGAATTCGTCTGAAAATATGCGCGTGGAATGTACGTTTATCGCGGAAAACGGAAGCGATCGTGTGCATATGTATGTCTTTACGTATATGTATTACATTTGTACGTACGTGGTTGAATAAGCAATTATTTGTGTGCGCATGTGTGTTCGCGATTGTGATCTTATAGGTAAAATCCCGTAAGGTAAGGATCTATGGCGCCACAAAATTCCCAGACGTTCAAAATGGCGGTCTCTTGATGATTAATGACAGCCATCTTTGACATAAAACTTCGGCTGTCGCTGGGTTCCATCCTTCTCAGACAGTCGACCCCAGATCCACTGCAATCCTTGGAAAGGTAAAGGAGTTATGTAGGGGGAGTTATGGATGAAGAAGAATGAATGTAAGTCGGGAGAGAGAGAGAGAGAGAGAGAGAGAGAGAGAGATGAGGAATAAATCGGAAAGAAAGCAAGACCTTAATATCTACACATATTGAGCTTACATTTAACCTGTCACAGTATGGACGCAAGTATTTCATATTCCTCTCTTCCAGTGTTTCTCACGTCTCCATTCTTTACGTATTTGTTTTAATATTAGCCAAGACAAAAGGTGTTTCTCCGCTCAGGATTCCCACGATTTTTCTTATATTTTCTTGAATAATTTCTCGCGGTCTTTAATTCTTTTTTTTTTTTTTCTTTTTTTCTTGCTTCACCTGTTAAATTTATTCGCCTTTACGAAAATGTCTCTTTTTCTTTCCTTCGTCTCTCTTACCCACTTCATATTTACAATTCCTATTTTGCAGAGAAGGACTGTCAATTTCTCTTTTTTCGCTCACTATGTGGGCTTATGTTTAAAGAGGTAAATCGGGAAACACGACCAAAGATGTGCGGCAAAACATTGTTTAATAACAGTGTAATTGTACTCACTCACAACAAGTATCTTGTTCGATATCGTTCGTTTTTCCTTCCTTTCTTCTCATTTCCTCTTTTCATTTTCAGTAATTTCTTGGATTAGTTGCTACAGATCTAGATATAGTAAGTTTCCTTGTAGTATGCGATTCGAAAATACCAGAATTCTGAACCGAATGTAATGTCCATCACAAACACTTGATCTAAAGACAGCCGATCTGTGATAACTCAAATATGTACTAAATTAACTCTATAAAACAAAGTTACATTTGTACTCGGTGTCCCCTCAGAATGTCAAAAGAGTTAGATGCGTCACACCTGCGTTATCATGCAAGGTGTCCTCATAGACATCAAGTGCAGAATTGGTCTTCAAAGTATGCGACCAACATAAATAAGAAATGAACCCACATAAAATTAGGATATACTCACACAATGCAACCGGATGACAGATTTTTTATGAACGCTCAACCTCATCACGAAAAGAAGATTGAACGTTCGTAAATGCTCCGAAGCCACATACAACCCACGGAAACTTTAATTTTAGGGAGTCCAATGATAAATAAGCATTTAGTTTAAGAATGACAAATTTAATCTCTTATACACTTACCCACATAAATTATACGCACGAAGGCTGCTTGACTAGTCAAATGCACGTGAAGCCTGCTTAATGAATTAAAATCAAAAATATCATATTTATTCCATATCTCATTCTCTGAAAGTGAAACATTTATAGAGATTTATATTCATTCCCTATTTGTTATCAGACACACACACTCACATATACATACATATATATATATATATATATATATATATATATATATATATATATATATATGTGTGTGTGTGTGTGTGTGTGTGTGCATGTATGTGTATGTCAGTGTATGTTTGGATGTAAGAGTTTAATTTTTGTAAGAAATAAATGCTTTTAATCCTTCATCATTATTTCTTAATATTATAAATGTTATTTAAGTGGCTTTAGGTTGTATTTTAAAAAAAATTAAATGGTAAAATGTTGTTTTTTAAATAACGGAAACGCTGTCTCGGTCCCTGTCATCAGTGACGTATTCTCTAATAAGACCCCTGATGATCAAATCCTGTAGACCTTCATCTTAAAAGAAAAAGAAAGATGCTTACTCAATTACATGTACTCATTTATTTAATTCATATTTTTTACTCATTTGTTTTTTTATAACTAACCCTTTTCATTTTTGTTGGCTATCCTTCCTTCTCGGTTAATAAATTTCCTTTCTTTGCTATCCGTCCTTCCCTGCTAATAATCTTTCTTCCTTCTTCCCTAATAACCTTCCTTTCTGGCTACCTTTCCTTCTCGGTTAATAATGTTACATTTTTAACGATCCTTCCTTCTTTTTTTAATTGGCGATCCACCCTTCTCGTTTAATAATTTGTTTTTTTAACGATCTTTCCTTCACGGTTAATAATCATTCTGGTGACCCTTCCTTCAATAATAATAAGTTTCCCTCGGTCTCGATTAATAATCGTCGCAGTTAATACATTTCTATCCTTCTTGGTTAATAATCTTCCTTTTTTAGTCTTCATTCCTACTCGCTTAATAATCATCCTTTTTGTTAGATATCCTTCCTTCTCGGTTTCGCTTTTGGCGATCATTCCTTCTTGGTTAATTTTTTTTTTTCTTTTTTGATGATCCTTTCTTCTCGGTTATTAATCTTCCTTCTTTATCAGTTAATCATCTTCCTTTTATAATCCTCCTCCCAACTCGGTCAAAAATCTTCCTTTTTGTTTGTTCTCTTTTCTCGGTTAATAATTTCATTTTGTTTTTCTTTTGCGATCAATCCTACTCGGTTATTAATTTTCCTTCCTTCTCCGTTAATAATCTTCATTTTTAGTTATCGTTTAATTATCTTCTTTTCGGTTTGTCATCCTTACTTCTCAGTCAATAATCTTCGTTTTTTTGATCCCGAACTATCCTTCCTTGTTAAGAATCTGATCTCCTTCTCAGTTAATAATTGTCATTCATTCTCGGTTAAAAACATTCCCTTTTTTTGGCAAGCCTTAATCCTTGGTCAATAATCATCCTTCAGTCTAGTTTAATAATTTTCCTTCATTTTCGATCCTTCCATCTCAGTTAAAGCCAACCTTCCTTCTCAGTTCATAATTTTCTATTTTTTGGTGATCTTTCCTTTTTGGTTAATAATTTTACTTTTTTGGCAATAATTCCTTTTTGATTAATAATCTTCCTTTTTTTGGCGATCATTCCTTCTTGGTTAATAATCTTCCTTTTTTGGCGATCATTCCTTCTCGGTTAAAAATTGTCCTTCCTTCTCCTTAATAATCATCCTTTTTTTAGCTATCTTCCTCTCGGATAATAATTGTGCCTCTTTCTCGCCTAATAATTTTCCTTTTGGGGCTATTTTTACTTCTCAGTTAATAAACTTACATTTTAAGGCTGTCCTTCCTTCTCGTTTAATAATTTTCTTTTTTTAGCGAACCATCTTTCTTGGTTAATATTTTTTTTCTGGTGACCCTTCCTTCAATATTAATAATTTTCCCTCCGTCTCGATTAATAATCGTCGCAGTTAATTCTTTTCTATCCTTCTTGGTTAATAATCTTCCTTTTTTAGTCTTCATTCCTACTCGCTTAATAATCATCCTTTTTGTTAGATATCCTTCCTTCTCGGTTTCGCTTTTGGCGATCATTCCTTCTTGGTTAATATTTTTTTTCTTTTTTGATGATCCTTTCTTCTCGGTTATTAATCTTCCTTCTTTATCAGTTAATCATCTTCCTTTTATAATCCTCCTCCCAACTGAGTCAAAAATCTTCCTTTTTGTTTGTTCTCCTTTCTCGGTTAATAATTTCATTTTTTTTTTCTTTTGGCGATCTTTCCGTCTCAGTTCATATTTTTTTTTGCCTAATAATCTTCCCTTTTTTGGTTATCTTTCCTTCACGGTAAATAAACTTACTTTTTGTCTATCCTTCTTTCCTGGTTAACAATTTTCTTTTTTCTGGATGATCCTTCCTTCTTAGTTAATAATCACCCTTCTTTGTCAGTTAATAATCTTTCTTTTTGTGATCCTTCCTTCTCGGTCAATTAACTTCCATCTTGTTTGTTATCCTTTCTTCTGGTTTAATAATCTTCTTTTGTTCCCAATCTCTCCTTCCCTGTTATTAATCTGCCTTCCTTCTTGGTTAATAAATGCCTTTCCTTCTTGGTTAATAATCTGTCTTTTTTTTGTGGGGAGGCGATATTTCCTTCTTGATTAATAATCTTCCTTTTTGTTAGTTATCGTTCATTCTCCGTTAATAATCTTCCTTTTTTGTTGGATATGGATTCTTCCTAGTTAATATTCAGCCATCCTTCTCTGTTAATAAATGACCTTAGCTATCGGTTAATTATCTCCGATTCTCTTGGCTATCCTTTCTTTCTCGTTTGATTATTTTCCTTTTTTGGTAATACTTCCTTCTTGCACGATAATCCTCCTTACTTCTCGATAAATAATCTTCCTTTTTGTTGACAATTCTTCCTCCCCTGGTAATAATTTTCCTTTTTTTTTTTCCTATCCTACTTTCTCGGCTGATACTCTTCCTTGCAATTATATTACTTTCCTTTCAACGCCGTGACTATTCATTTTTTTTTAAGTCTTACTTCTCTCATTCCTACTTTCTTATTATGCCTTCTTTTCTTTCTTTTTACATTCACCGCTTTATTTTGCTTTGATTTCGTTTTCTTTCTGCACTTCGTTCTTTCTTTCTCTTTCTCTTTATTCTTTTCCTCCCTTATTTCTTTTGCTATCTTCTTCAATTAATTTGATGCTGTCTCTTATTTTTAGCATTTCGCCGTTGTTTCGCTGTAGGACAATTTTTTCTTTTCTTCTTCTTTTTTTTTTCTCTTTTTCTTCTTGACCCAGTGTCAGTGCCAAAAGCTAAATTCCAATTGTCCATTCTCCATTCCATATGATCACTAGCATTTATCCCCTCTCCAGTCAACAAGACAGGAAAATAAAGCAACCAACACCCCACCCTCAACCTCATCCATTTCTTTCTATCAACGACCATTAAATCTACCGCGTAAGAGATTAAACATCGCCGACATGGATAAGCATTTTAGACGGGGATGGGAATCGTTTTTAGCTTTCTTAACAATAGTATTGAATAGTGCTGCCACATCTGGTCCGGTCGTTTCCTGCTATGTATAAGAGATTCTTGATGAAATCCAAAGAAAAGAAGAATATGCAATGTTATCGGTCCTGTTCTGGCATCTCGGCTTCAGTCCGTTTCCCTTTGCCGTAACCTTGATTCCTTGTGACTTATCTATAAATATTTTCAGGCTGATTGTGCTGATAAGTTCTGCTATTTGCTACCTCAACCTTACGAATGTAAGCGCAGTACTAGCTGGGAAGATAGGTCTCATCTTTTTTTTTTTATAGTTGGAATAAAATGCGCTATGCTAACGATTTTATTCTAACAAATCTCGCTTGTAGATCTTCCTTCCGGTTTCTTCCTTCCCAGTCAATTTTGATCTTCAAAAATTTAAATGCAATGGCTGTCGTTATTTTTTTCTTATTAATTCCATTTCTTTTATTGTTATCTCTTCTCGATAATGTTTTTTTTTTCCTTTTTTTTCTTAATCTTTAACAATCAATGGTGTTATTACAATGTTTGATGTGAAATGATGTTTTTTTTGTAAATTCGATATTTCTACGTTTTTTTTTTCTTCGCCCTTGTCTCAAGTTCTCTGTTATAAGTCACTAGCAGTAGAGCCCGGCGTTGCCCGGGCATGTAACAGTAAGCGATAGACCAAGTATCGACCACCATAAAGACTGAAAAATAAAATTGACAAAGATTATTGTAAACAATAATCTTTGTCAATTTTATTTTTAGGTTGACGGACACGCATGTCTTAATTAGTTGTTTTTTTTTTTTTTGTTTGTTTTTTTTTTTAATTTTTTTACGAATTGGTCAAACCCAAACTCAAACAAAAACATTGTTTTCAATCGTTATGAGTCTACCGATTGAATAGAATTTTATTATAAACAATTGTCTTGTAAATGGAATTTTTAAAGCATTTTGAATGTAAAAATAAAGAAAAAAGTGTGCAAGAAAAACTACCTGCGAAAAAAAGTGAAGTTTTGTTGAAATCAGTTGAAAAATGTAGGAAATCCGACCCCATATATAAACGAACACAGATACGCACTCACAAACAACTTGGGTTTTTATAATAAGTATAACTCGATATGAGTCGTCCCCCTTTCATTCTCGACAGCGATGCCGACTTAATCGTGTTTTTAAATTGATTTTGTGCAAAAACAATTGTGTTTTTCCGATTTTTGGCGCCGTCAGAACCTCCGCAAGGTAATTTTACGTAGTCCTGTGAAGTTTTGTTGAAATCGGTTGAAAAATGTAGGAAATCCGATCCAATATATAAACGTACAGACACACACACACACACACACACACAACCTGGGTTTTTTAATAAGTATGATTATCAGGTGTATTTCATCATGGCTAGTGAAAAATTTACATAGGATATGAGTTCCTTCTTAACGTTACACGAGCTTACGGTCATATCACGTTGAAACACTGGTTCTGGTACGATCACCGAGGTTAAATAACTTTGAGCTTGGTCAGTACCTAGAGAGGTAAACACTTGATAATACCAGGTACTTAGATGGATAACGACTCGGAATTGAAAATTGTAGAACAGAGAATCTATTCCTGTTAGACTCGTTATAGTCACTGTCACGCAAATACCTTTTCTTTAACCTCTTCTGTTCCCAACTATGTGTTAATTAGCAGGAGTTGTACCAGTAAATCGCAAAAAGAAAAAATTAGTCACAATCTGAAAATTTTGATAAGCCGTAAAAACAAATTCATAACTCATTAACTTTCAATTTGTCGTTTCTTCTTGTTTTGTGCCGTGGCCTTTCAGGACGAAGCGATTATGGCTTTCCATTTCCCCTTATCACTTGTAGCTCTCAATATGTTTTGTCCTTTTGGTACTTCTCCAAAATCCTGTTCCGTCATCCACTTGCTTAAGCGCCCTAGGTATGACACGCGTTGCTTTCCCTTGTCTCTCTTTCTCTCTATCTGCCCTGTTAGTATCAGATTTTCCAAACCCTCAGTTCTCATTAAGTCTCCCAGAAATTCCAGCTGCCTCCTCCTGATGTTAAGTATAAACTTCTTCCTTATTTGCATCCTCTCCAAAACCTCATCGTTGCTCACATGTTCGATCCATGTTATCCTTTTGCTTCGAGTCTCTGCTTCTTCTTTGAAGAGACCATAGACTGCAGTAAAGGAAGACAGATATCACGTAGCAGTTCAGTACTCTTGTCTTTGTTACCAACGAAATCCTCCTGTCTCGTAATACTCTGCCTAGCTTTTAGAATGCGTTTTGGCCATCCCAATACGTCTTCGGATCTCAGGGTCGCACTTTCCGTCTTCTGTCAGAATACTTCCCCGTTATTTAAATTTCCGCACCTGGTTGGTTTTAGATTTCCCGACCTGAATCACGTAGATCTTCAGTATATTTTTCTTTGTTACCAACGAAACCCTCCTGTCTCGTAATACACTGCCTACCTTTTGGAATGGGTCCTAATTCGTCTCCGGATCTCAGCTTCGCCTTTAACGTCCTTTGTCAGAACACTTCCCAAAATTTCCGCACTTTCGAATTTTAGGCTCATCTTTTGGCTGCCTTCTTGTCGTTTATGCTTAGTCCCTACTTCTTGCTGTCTTACGCTACCTTATGTTGTAGGTTTTGTAATTTCCTTTCCTTTTACATCTGCGTATCTTATGTTAAGATTGCGGCCGACAATGATACTAAGCCAATATTAAATGTTCTGTTATTTTTTTCATTTTAATTTAAATTTCTTTTTCGATTCTTTTATCGATTGATTCAATTCTTTTATTAATATTTTTCCAGTTTCCTATTAGCTTTATCGCTTTTTCCATTTATTTTTCTCGCTTCTGTCATTTTTTTTTTTTTTTTCGTATGTTCATTCATCTCCTTATCTTGGGTCTTTTACTCTCACTTTGGCCCGTTTCATCTTCTTGGTTTAAATTCTAGGTTTTTTGGTTCAGGATTTTTTTCGGAGTATTATTAATATTCTTAATTATTTTAGACTCGCAATATTTTCTTATATTTACTAAAACTTTGTCATTTCTATCATTCATTCGAGCTCCAGTTTCCGTTGGGTTTGATATATTCACTTACACACAAATACCATTGATAATGGTATGAATCTACCTCCCCATCAGCTATGGGTTAATTAGACCTGTTTACCTAAAACCATTATTATCATCACAAAATATCTGGTTTTACATCAGTAAAGGGCTGATAAACCGTAAAAAAACTAAGCAACCTATCAATAAATCGTAATATATTTCTGACACAGCAGTCATTTTTTCATTATATTAAAATATCTAATCCACATATTCTTCTTTCTTTCATCTTATCATTTCTATCCTTTTCTCTATCAGGGAATGAGTGAAAGAAAAAAATAGCTAGGGAGAGAAATGACTGAAAGAAAGAAATGAAATGAAAATGAGTGATAGAAATAGGGAGGCGTAGAAAATTACAGGGATTGAATGAAAGAAAAAGAAAAAAAAGAAAAGGAGGAGTAACAACAATTAGATTCATACAATCTTTCATTTTTCTCTGTTCACTTTATTTAATTCATTCATTCTTTTATTCATTGTTACATTTCTGTTCATTATTTTCCTGGCTTCTTCTTTCTTTCATTTAATCATATCTATTTTTATTTCCTTTCATTATTTTATTCATTATCTGGATTGTTCTCTATTTCTTTTCCTTTTAATAATTCTATCCTTTATCTATGTCCCTTGTTTTTTTCCTTCATTCATTGTCGAAATTTGTTCCAATTTTCATTAATTCAGTTAGTTTTCTTTCTTTCATTTTATTATTTTCCTTCTTATCTCCCTTGTTCTTGCTTTTATTCATCCATTTTCTAATTCTCGTCTATATCTTATACCATTTTTCTTTCTTCCTTTCTTTTTTCTTTCTTTCTTTCTTTCTTTCTTTCTTTCTTTCTTTCTTTATTTATTTATTTATTTATTTATTTATATTCTAATTGTTGTTCCTCCTCCTTTTCTTTTTCTTTCATTCAATCCCTGCAATTTTCTACACCTCCCTATTTCTTTCACTCATTTTGATTTCATTTCTTTCTTTCAGTCTTTTCTCTCTCTAGTTAATTTTTTTTTCTTTCACTCATTCGCTGTCCCTATTTCTCTAGTTCTTTTTTTTTAATCATTTTTGCTTCAATTTCTGTTCTCTGCTCTCTGTCATTTTCTTATTTGTCTTCATTTTCATATATATCTATAATGGATTTCTCTCAAAACAAAAAAGGGGCATTTCGTATGATTATCAAAACAAAAATCTTTAATTACAACTTACCCTATTGCGAATATATTTCACTACCATTCTCTCTCTTAATTTTCATTGGAATTCTTTCTTTCACCTTGGCTTCAACCATCTCGTTCTATAGCGACGTATTAATCGTAGTTTACATGTGGCACAAGGCCGAAAGTAATGGGCCCGTAATAATGATCGAAGTTGCTACTCAATCGTAATTGATCGCGCCTGCTAACAATTTCACCACGTTCAAGAACCCACCTTCTCTCTCTATAATCTTACAATTTATATTCTTTGCTCCAAAACCATTCTTTATATTTATACGTATCTTTCTGTCTTTGTTTTACATCTGTCTTTTCTTTTTAATTTAACTGTCTTCTGTCTTTTATGTGATTCTTACCTCGACGGCCATTCTCCCTTACAATTTCTTGTTGGTGCTTCAACATTTTGTTTATATCCGTCTTGGTATCTAACTATTATCTATCTATCTATCTATCTATCTATCTATCTATCTATCTATCTATCTATCTATCTATCTGTTTACTCTTTTTCCTCTGTGTATCACATTCGGTTAATATCTATCTTTCTATTCTGTTTCTTTTTCCGTTACACACACACACACACACATATATATATATATATATATATATATATATATATATATATATATATATATATATATATATATATATATATATTGTGTATATGTTCTTTATTGTTTTTTTATTTTTATTCTTTCTTTTCTAATCTCATTCTATGTCTGGACTTTATTTCTACAGACCGTCAAGGATGGTCTATTGTTGTAAAGCAAATAGGACAAGGGATGGTGAGAAGAGAACCAATCGCGAAGATGTATTTAAATGCGAATAATGAGCCAATCATCAGCTTATCATTATCGTGATGGACGACAGGGCGCTCGCATTCGTCTACTGAGACGGGGGTCGCCTTTCAACGCCACTTCACTCGTATTTTCATGCCATGCCCTTCAAAAATAAATAAATGCTGACTGGCAGATGATGGATCTTCACTAAATTGAGTTTAGTGCGGCGAATTGGACGAAAATAAATGTAAGAAATTCGTCTTGCACCAATCGTCTATGTGGGGAGGGCCAACCTGCTTTCTTAATCAACATTTGAAGCTGCTTCGAGTTAAGTATTTAATAAACCTATCTTAATTTTAGTATAAACAAGTCTCGTTGACCCTGACTTGTAAGGGTCAACGAGATTTGCGCGCGTTCTTACTCTGCGGACAGTCCAATGGTTTATAATATATATATATATATATATATATATATATATATATATATATATATATATATATATATATATATATATATATATTATACCATTTAGTTATACCAGCGTGTGCCAATGACGTGCAAACTGATATGGTCAATTGTTTCTTGATATTTATTACACTATCTGATTTTTTGGTCTAAGATATTATTATTATTATTATTATTATTATTATTATTATCATTATTATTATTATTATTATTGCTCGGTGACATACAACAGAGCTAATAAGAATATATTAATAAATATACATATTATCTTTCACCGGGAGCACAACTCGGCGTGTGTGTGTGTGTGTGTGTGTGTGTGTGTGTGTTCACCCAATACAAGGCCCAGGAGCCACTCAAAATAGAGGGTTATTGTGCGTAATTCTATTAGCCTAATAAAGGGAAAATACAAAAAAGATAGCTAATTCTAGATTTGAAGAAGTCAAAATTTGATTAGCGAATAAAATTTCAATGCTCAGGTGGAGAAGTTGGGACTATACTATTGAAGTAAACTTTAGAAGGAAAGCGGAAATCCAATTCTATGCAGGAAACAAGGGACGAACTTTTACTTCTGATCAAAAAACCTTGGAGGAATGTGAACCGGGTGATAGACAAACCTATCTATTTGCATTGTGAGAGGAATAATAATAATAATAATAATAATAATTACTGAATAAATTGCAGATTTCAGGCGGAGAAGTCAGAAGTACAGAGTTGAAGGCACTGTCAACCCAGTCCTAAACAGGAAACAATGGCTAACCCTCCACTTATGTTTAAAAGATCGGGCAGGAGTATAAACAGGACGATAGGCGAACCTATCTTCTCCTATTGGGTGAGGGGAAAAATAATTAGTGAAAAACAATTTTATGTTCAGGTGGAGATGTTAGAAATATACAGTTGAAATAAATTTTCGAAGGAACAGGAAACTCAAGCTTAAACACGGAACAAGGGTTAAACCACTACTCCTGTTCAAAAGACCGGGGAGGAATATGAAATGGACGATTGACAAACCTATCTACTCCTATTGAGAGAGGAAAAAATACTAATTACTGAATAAAATTTCAGATTTAAAAAAAAAGACATCAGAAGTAGAGAATTAAAGGACCCGAACCCTAAACTGGAAACAATGGATAATATTTTTGCTAAGTGTTCACCTGATAATATTCGCAAGAGCCCCGCGAGGTAGAATTACCGAAGGAGATTGTTGTGGACGTAAGAGGAGGAGCAAAGGGTGTAGATTATTAGGATATATTAGAGAGATAACAGTTCACGTTTGAAGAGCTTAAGATCATAGTGATGGAGGAAGCATCCAGTTCGGTGCTTGTTCCACAAACTAGCAGTTCTCGGGAAGAAACTATCCAAGAGGTTGAGTTTGATTTGTTTTTAAGGCTTCTCAATCCGTTATAGGTGACCTAAAACAGAAGTACATTTTTGAATTTTAAAAATAATAATTACATTAACAATATTTTTTGAGAATATCAATGGTTTTCTTTCCTACTATTTAATCCATAAATAGGGGTAGAGAATGGATTCATACCGTGATTACTTGTTAGTAATGGAATACGCGTTAAGGGAGATGAGGATGATTCGACCCTCTGATGTATCGTAGCATTTGAATCGGACATAGCGATAAAGTAGCAGTAGGCTTGCAACCTTTCGTCTGTAGGAAAGACACTGCAGGTTTGAAAGCAATTCTTCCCCCACAAGGTCTGCTTAAATGCAATCTCTGTCTAGGCTAGTAATCGAAGATCAAGTAACTCCAACACAAATATGGCAGCAATACTCCATTTTGGGAACATATTTCTGCCATATACGAGAATTAAGATCATATTCCAGTTTAGCACTCTCTATACCAATGAGCCTATGCTGTTAGATATCTCATTATCCATCATCCATTAATAACACTTCCGTGATATTTAATCTTCTATAATCAGTGCACATAATGAAGAAAGGCGGCTTAGTAAATTTGATACTCACAAAGCATATTGAAGACAAGATGGACAGAGGAAAACACCGCATAACTTACCCAATGAGCTTGTGTAAATGGCTGACAGAATAGGGTTTATGAGAAATAGAAAAAAAGACAAAAAAAAAAGAGCTGAAAAAGAAGAAGAAATTGTGAAGAACCATGATTGCCAACCTCCGCAACGTACATGGGAGCCTCGGTAGATCGAGACTTTTATATGGATGTCGTATATTGCACAAAACTCGTTCAGAAATATCTAAACAATTAGCTTGTATAAAAAAAACCGCTTCCTAAAATCAATGATGAAATCGTCCTGGAGCGAGTAAAGTCTTAGGAACTTGGCAACTGCACCAAATAACAGAACGCACATCAGGACAACCAACAGCGACAACAACTAAAATGGATAGCAGATATAATTCTAGGAAAAAAATAATGACGTAATCAAGATGTTAACATTTCACATCAATTCACGATTAGGAAATAAACCCACATCAATCCTGAAAAGAGTATTAAGAGCTATTGGACTTGATATACCTGTTTTCCTAATATTGTTTTTAAAAGACGGATTTTATAAATTTCAACCGAAAGCTGTAATTGTACTATATATATATATATATATATATATATATATATATATATATATATATATATATTAATTGATTTAAAAATATTTTTTTTTCTACACAGTTCTAACCATGTTTCAAAAATGGAAGCTATGGAACTAATGTCTTTAATTTAATCACAAAATTAAATTCGTGGCTTCCATTTTTGAAACATGGTTAGAACTGTGTAGCGAAAAAAACATATTTTAAATCAATTAATTTATAATATGAATGCTCTGTAAATTTACATTGAGCACTATTTTGTAAAAATAAAAGAACATAAGAACACCGGATTATATATCTTGCTGTTCTTTTTTTATATATATATATATATATATATATATATATATATATATATATATATATATAGTTATACTAGTGTGTGCCAATAACGTGCAAACTGATATGGTCAATTGTTTCTTGATATTTATTACAGAATCTGATTTTGGGCTAAGATATTATTATTATTATTATTATTATTATTATTATTATTATTGTTGTTGTTGTTGTTGTTGTTATTGTTGAATATTTTAACATATTTGGAAATTCTTTTAGTGTATTAGCTTATTTCAAATAAAACGCGAAACTCAAAACTATATAAGTTAGCGCAATGCATACACACACAATATATATATATATATATATATATATATATATATATATATATATATATATATATATATGCGTATGTATGTATGTATAAGTGCGTAGGTATGCAGAAAATAGAAAAAAGAACACGTTGGCTGCATAATCCGGGGTTCTTTAGTATTTTTTTTGTTTTTATTTTTAAGAAGACAGTGCTCCATACAGAAGTAGAGCTTATATTATAATAATATTTTTTGTTTAAAAATATGATTCCTTCGCTACATAAGAGTTCTTATGTTTCAAAAACGAGAGCCGTAATATCCAAATAATTATTAAAATTAAGTTGGAATGTGGTGTTTAGTCCCGTTTCATCTTCAAGCGAAATTTTAGGAATAAGCTATCTGTCGGTTTACGTAAAGTATATGAATTGCACATAAAGTTCTGGTGTTAATAAAACAGTGCTCGGTGTAATACAACAGAGCTAATAAGAATATATTAATAAAAATACATATTATCTTTCACCGGGAGCACGAGTCGGCGTGTGTGTGTGTGTGTGTGTGTGTGTGTGTGTGTGTGTGTGTGTGTATTCACCCAATACAAGTTCGGGCAATGAATATCAAATTTTTCCTTGTTGGGAAACGGTTAATATTACCATTAATATAGAAGAAATATTATTTGATTTTGAGGTATTCCATTCGTATCTCGAATCGTGGGCTTTTTTTTTCTCTTGCTGACAAACACAGAGAAATGAAAAAAAAATGGTACGCTAAACTACCCAGTGAAAAAATACGCTAGTATCTCAACCACAAGGCAGCTGCTTATTTATTTATTTTCCTGCTTGGCTTTAAGTCCGTCTTATCTGTTCTATATGTGACTTCTACTTACCCTTCTCTCTTTTGATCTATCAGCAATTTTTATTTTTCCTTTCCCTTTCTCTACTCAGTTTCTTTTCTTTTCTCTTTCTCTCCATGGAATAATGAGATCTCATCGTCAGACACCATTAACTTAACCGACCCTATCCTTAATCGACACTATCTTCTTGTTTTTCCCTACCTCGAACATTCTTCTCCTCCAATGTCGAGCTTTCTCGTTTTTAACAGGTCTCAATCCCTCGACATTTGCCACCTGTATTCACTCCATCAAAAGAAGACATTAAATTCGCTCGTCTGACCAGCATAAAACCGAGAGATTTCCTGTCAAAGAACTGCATCTCCCACTTCGCCATGTTAGTAACCCGGCCCGTTTCCTTACACCTCACCCTAACCCCACGGAGATCGGGGAACATTATTTCTTTCATCTCAATTTCCATCTTTCAAAGACCGTCCTAAATCATCCTTCACTGAAATATTTCTGATTTTCATTCTTCCTTGTTCAATTTTTCTCTAGAATTTGTTTTTTTTTTTTCTTTCGCACACCCCCACTTTCATTTTCGGTCGTTAATTTATCACCTCTCCAACTCTTGCATACTGTCGTATACTCTGTTTAATTCTTTTTTTTTACTGTTTTTTTTTTAATTACGCGTTTGCATCTCTTTTCTATACACATTATTTTTTCTTTCCTCTTCCTTGCCTCCCACTCAGTATTTACATCCACATCTCTTCACATTTTCCTAATATTTATCACCTCATTTTACTGCTTTCTTTTAACCGTTTTCTTTCTTTCTTTCTTTCTTTCTTTCTTTCTCAAATGTTTCATCCCGACATTCTTTGTCTTTCACCTTCTTTCCGTAAGTATCCATTTTCTTCGTTAACACTCTAACAGAACCAACATTTCAAACCTGACTTCTCACCTTTAGCTTTAGTTATATTTGCATCACTTAGTTCCCTTTTTCCCCTTGTGCCATTAACCCTTTGTCTTTGAATCACTATTTCTGCCTTGTTTTCCTGCATCTATTAATTTACACTCTATCAGATATTTTCGGTCGTCATGGAAGCCCTAGATTCCCTTTTAGAAAACTATCAACTCATCCACTAAAAACTTCTAATATTTGCCTACCAACTCAATTATAGCTCGTCGGCTGCTACTCCGTAGAAAAAGGACCGGCAAAAATGGCTCCCCGTGTCCATATTTTATAATCTCATCGATATCATTTGCGGTTCTTCATGAGGATCAAGTGGCAACAAATCTTAATACTCTTTTTAGCATATGTGCCAATTTCAATAATTTCGTTGTCAGATTGTAATTTATTCGGTTTGTGTGTCTATGTCTATGTGTGTGTTTGTCTGTGTGTGTATGTCTATGTGTGTGTTTGTCTGTGTGTGCGTGTTTTTTGTGTGTATACATTTCATTCTTAATCTTTTTAAGTTGAAGGTAGCATCTTCACGCTTGTGGAACTCTCTCCCGGCTCTATGCCCCCCTCCAATTTTGATCTTCAAAAATTCAAATGCAACGTCAATCGTTATCTACTCTATTCTTGATTACGCTTCTTTTATTGTTTGCGCTCATTAATAATATTTCTATTTTTCTTATTCTTTCACACTCAGTAATCCCTTGTTTCTAGTAGCTTTACTGAGTGGGATGGAGTAAAATGAGATTTTTTTTTAAAAATAACTAAAACTTTAAATATGTAAAGGGCATTTTTTTTTCAAATATATAAATCTTATTTTTATTTTAGGTATCATTAAAGTTTAAGTTATATGGATCACTTTCTTCCTCAATTGAAGTAGATAAGTTTGCCTATCGCCCAGTTCACACACCTAAACTCTTACTTGAACAGGAGAAGAGGTTTAGCTCTTGTTTCCTGTGTAAGTGAATTTACTTGACCCCCCCACCACTGAGTCAGGTTGTGACACAAGGTCAGTTTTTAACGTAGGGACCCGAATGTTTTCACTCGAGCCGCTGGTCCAAGCTGGTCTTGGCTTGTCCTAGCTGGTCCAGGCCGGAGACGGTCCAAGATAGTCCTAGCCGTGATACCACCAGCCCAGGGACGAGCCCTGTGCCAGGTAAGTATCCTTGTTTCCTGTGTAAGGTTGGTTTCCGATTCCTTCTAAAGTTTACTTCAACCCTATACTCTTAACGTCTCCGTTTAAAACTCTGAACTTTTCTTTCCTATTTATTTACTTTCTTTTCCTCAATAGGTGCAAAAAGGTTCGCCTATCATTTTTTTTTTCACTCCCCACTCTGGTCGTTTGAACAGGAGTAAAAGTTTAGTCCTTGTTTCTTGTTTTGGTTAGGATTTCTGATTCCTTCTAAAAGTTTTTTTTTCCTCCTTTCACTCCCGGTGGCCCCTTGCATTGTCCATTGTTCGTATTGTACTTTTTACAGACATATTCTATGATATATATATATATATATATATATATATATATATATATATATATATATATAGATAGATAGATAGATAGATATATATATAGATATATATATATATAACAAACTCACATCTATCAAACCAAAAATATTTATCTCTGATATTCTTTCTGATATTAGCGCATATAATATATAAATAATTATACATATATATATTTATTCATATTTATATACACTTTTCACATACACACACACACACATATAAATAATTATATATATATATATATATATTTATATATATATATTATATACATTTTTCACATCAACAACAAACTGTAAATACTTTCACACACACATATATATATATATATATATATATATATATATATATATATATATATATTCTTTAATTTAACTCGTTTACTTAGTCAAGTAACGCGTTTAATCATGTCAACTGGAAACCGACTAATGTGATTTAGTCAGTCGTGATGCTTGGGCAGGTAGTATCTTCTCCATGAAAAGATTATCCTTCCAGATAATCTGAATTTTATTTTGATGACATTTAATCATTCGGATATAGAGTGTCTTGTTATATGAAAGATTGAAAATGAAGCCATCTTGTAGGAGGAATTCAACTCTAGTTGAAAACAGCCTACAATGTCAAACTACAACTGAATATGGAGAAACTGACACCAGGTATCAGTCACACTGATTTGTGCATGGATTTGATGAAAATATTCTGTTATCTTCACTAATTTTCTTCATCTGCTGTCACTTATGAAGACCACATTAAAATAATTCTTTCAAACGTCACTGAATATTTGAGATAATAAAAATTCAGTATATTCCATCTAACCAGGTCAACCGTCGACGTGCTTACGACCAACGCTGCAGTTACCTATCAAGCTTCAGATGATAATGTCTAAGCTCAGGCCGTGGCTCTAGATATCTCTAAGGCGTTCGACAGGATCTGCTATGCTGGTCTTCTACGCAAACCCGATGGCTACGGTGTCATGTGACGTATATCTGACCTAATCCAATCGTTCTTAGTCAATCGAGTAATGAATGTCGTATTAAATGAACATAGTTTCAGATCATTTCGTCCATCAATACTCTAACCTTGGCATTACGCTTTTTCTGATCTTAATCAATGACCTCCCTGATGTCATCTCTTCCCAACTAGGCATTTATGCAGATGATACTACCATTTGCTTCAGTATTAGTAGCATGTCTAACAGACTGGACAAGGTAAACCTGGCAAATATTCTTGAAACGGACATCCAATCAATGGTTAACTGGGGCAAGAAATGACTTTTAAATTTCAACGCTTCCAAGACAAAACTGCTTTCATTTAATCACCAGAGAATATCTTTTCTGATGGCTGATGCTGAACATTCTTTCTTCTTGGTCTTTACACTTTCTACTCACATGAAATAGAACGATTATATCGAGTCAATTCCTAGGTCTGCTGCAAAATAGGTTGGTTCAGTGTGTCGAGGACCCCAACTTTTTCTCGTCAGAATCCATCTTGCGCATATATATATATATATATATATATATATATACCATCTGCTTGTGCTTTGAATACTGCTGCCATATCTGGATTGGTACTACTATTGTGTGTCTCGAGATTCGTAATAAAATCCAGAGATGGGTCTACAATACTATCGGCCCTGATTTAAACATCTCAATTCCAGTCACTTTCTCACTGACGTGACATAGCTTCAGTCTATCTGTTCTACAAATATTTTCATTCCAACTGTTCGGATGCGATTGTTTTCTCTTGTGCATCGACTACGTAAATTTAAGCGTGCTACTAGATAGCTAACTAAGTCTGATATATATATATATATATAGTTTACTTATGTTATAATTTTTTTATAAATAATAATTATATATATATATATATATATATATATATATGTCACAGTGAATAAAGGCGTTTGTTATATCCAAAACACAAGAAGTGTGAGTTCAATACCCGGCTAAGGCAGTGGAGAACTTTCAGAGGGAAAATTAACAGGCGATAACTGATAGCTGACATCCATCAAACATGGCACATGGAACTAGAACAGTCTACCCCAGTGAGCGAAATAAAGGGTTCAGTTTGACATTCCAACCACCTGAAGAAGGACGGAGTGTACAACGGCCGATATGTTGTAATAAATATGGCGACAAAGATGAGGACAATAGTCCGAATAATGTAAATAATGTACTTAATACCTCATGTCAGAAATATATATATATATATATATATATATATATATATATATATATATATATATAGTAAAGTATTAAGAAACGAGGTATATTACGTTAGAACAAAGAAACCAGCAGCCGATATCTATCATCCTATATATATATATATATATATATATATATATATATATATATATATATATATATATATATATTGTTTGTTTTTTTTTCTAACATTATATACCTTGTTTCCTAATACTTTTCTATCCCAATGTTCCTTTAGATATCAGTCACAATTTCAATATTTTTTAAGCTTTGTTGTCTAAAGAATGTTTTTCACTGTTGTCAAATTTATATATTTATTAATTAAACGGAAATCATTGTTTAGGTTACCTGCAGGAGAGCAATTAATTCAGTTAAGAAAACGAATTTTATCGAAACTTGAACAGTGAATATTTCTGTTCTAATATCACCTACCAAGACATACCAGTTGGCGTACTTATTTATCAATCTTCGTATAACTATTAGATACTAAATGGGGATGGCAACTAATTCGATCAGTCAATTCGATTACCATTGTCTCTCCTGTTACCTTCATCAAACTTATTCGAATATTAACAACAGATCTTAAAAGACATGTATAATAATCCATCGACAATGAATTGTTAATATTTCACAAGAACATATTTATTAAGAATTATTTACAAAATTTGGAAACATTAATTTCCTGTAGCAACTTTCATTGCAAATTCATTGTTTCACTTGATCACCGACAATAGTCACCAAATGGAAGACTGGAAGTGAGATAATAGTTAACTGAGTTTTATTCTCGCTACTAACTAGATAACACATACTAATGGACTTGTTCGAAACTAAGCTAAACTTATTAAATACAAAGTGCGCTCCGTACATACTAATGGCTAACGAGCTAGACTAGTGGACATCAACTCATTATTCGCGAGTTCGATATTCGCTAAGGGGCGTTACGTATGGACGTTTTAACATAATGTCCATCATATAAAAAGCCTAAAGCCACTCGTGTCCGGTGAATGACGATAAACTATATCTGGCAGCAAATCCTACGTTTTGAGGAGCGATGATCCACCACTTTTTAGTTTTCCCTCCAGTCCTGAACTGGGGTCAAAACAGTATAGTAGTGTAAAAATTGGTTTTAATACCAGCAATACATTTTTGAAAAAGAAAATTCTTATCAGCAATATAATTTTGGATAAAAAGTATTAACCACAATACATATTTGGAAAAAAAATACCAGCAATAAAAAAAACTTGTTGGCATTAAATAACCTATTG